AATCTTTACAACAAAAATCTATAGATATTATTAATGCATTGGCCTTGGTTTCCACAATAAAAATATTGCTTCAAAAACTGAGAGATGAAGGTTGGCAATCACTTTTGGATCAAGTGGTTTGTTTTTGTAAAAGAAGTGACATTTTGGTCCCTAATATGAATGAAACTTACAAATATGTAATTCGTACACGACGTGATAAAGACAATATCACTGCAGAGCGGCACTACCGAGTTGAATTGTTTATTGCTGCTATTGACAGTCAGTTGCAAGAGTTGAATTCTAGATTTAATGAATCTGTAACAGAGCTTCTCCGTCTCAGTGTTGCACTAGATCCAAAAAAAGTCCTTGAATGTTCAAGATATATGTAAATTGGCAACAACTTATTATCCTTTGGACTTTACAGAGCACGAAATTCATTTGTTGAAACTTGAGTTATGACATTATGAGTTAGATGTGCGCAATCACCAACAATTGAAAATTTCTTCTACACTTTCTGAATTGTGCAGGGGTCTACATGAAACTGGAAAGGCATGTACTTATCCTTTGTTTGACAGATTGATTTGCATTATATTGACGCTTCCCGTTTCTACTACGACATCTGAAAGAGCATTCACAGCAATGAAAATCGTGAAAACGCGACTTCGGAATACCATGAATGATGATTTTCTTAGAAGTTGTCTACTTATTAAAATTAAGAGAGAGAGATTGATGATACATTTTCCACAGATAAACTTATAGATGATTTTTCATCTATAAAGCAAAGACGGGCACAACTTAAAGTGAGAAAGGTGCTATTTCTTATACTTTTACAAATTTTTTAATTGTATTCTTCTAAATTGAAGATAATATCATATGTATCTATGTTCTAAGTCGTTCTTTTAATAATAACAGATTACTGTATGAGAATTGGTGCTTATGATCATTTGAAAACTTTTGAAGATTGGTTCTTGCAAAGATTGATGTAGTTCCTATTTAGACGATTTTTTTTCTTTGTCAGTATCTCTTTCAATTTTATAGACTCGGTTATGTTATTCGAATATATTCTTTTTTAAATTTATATATAAGCCCCCCTTATCTTTAAATCTTGGTTCCACCCCTGCTTGTGATGAATCGAGTATCATCAGAGGATAATCATTTTGATCGTTTTACGAAGGCGTATGCAAGAACAAGCACTTCGGGCATGTTAAGAGCATTGGGTTAAAAGATGATATTGGTTTTAGTAATTAGTTGATAGTTTGAAACAATGTAACAAAATAAATTGTAATTGTTTTTGGTGATTAAATAATAGATATGTATTTATGATTTTGTGTACTACCATATTCAATTATTTATTCTTGTGTTTCGTTTTGCACGTTTACTTCCCGAGTATTAAATTATTCAAAACGCCACATTTGGTCATACTTTTGGGAGTAACGATTGATTTAAGACTGTCATGGAATAATAATTGATTGTCTATAGTGATTGGACATGGCATAAAGATTGTTGTTATACTCATGAGTACTTAAAAGGGATTTTAAGTATTAGTTAAACCCTTGCTTAGAGATTTCTTCACGAATTCAATCATAAGTAATTCTAAGACGATAATATACTCTATTCTTCAAGCAAAGATACATAATTTATAGTTTACAACTATGTTGTGCATTGGTATTACATTAACGCATCCATGATTGAATGTTATAAAATGTAGTTCCATGTATAGCATGATAGGTAAAGGCTATAACTATATAGTCAAAGTTTATTCGTTCATTTTGTCTTTAAAGGAAAAAAGCGATATCTTTGACCCCTCGGTGATTTGATGTTGACATTATAGTATTGGGCCCAGCCTAGACTAAATTAATGTGTTCAATTCGTAGTTTAATAAGTCATCATAAATCGGAAATCAGGAAACGAAATCTTGGACTATGAGCTTGATTTGTATCCATGTCTCTTGTCCATACGATATCTTATAGAACGAAGGAATAGTTGATCACTTATCTTAGCGTCAGATATGATCAGAGTTCAGCAGTGGCTTTGGAAAACACATTTTGCTAATTATTCAAAGTTCATACTCGCAACTGTAGTTGATGACTTATCCAAGTAAGAGACTGCTGGATTAGGTGTCTAAGGTTATAACTAAATTGGTATAACTTTGTGGAATAAAAGCAAAGTCCTTTTTGGGTTGCCTTCAATAACTAGAAATGGCTAGAAATGATTATAGGAGAGTGAGGAAATGCTTTGTTAATTAATTATGAAATTAATAAATTGATTGGAAATAGTTTAGAATTAATTAGAATTAAATGGAAATTAATTTTGGAGTAATTGGAATTAAAAAAAGGTGCAAGGGTTGAATTGCAATTGTTCAATTATTGAGCAAGGGAGGCAATTCTAGAACCTCGCTATGGTGGACGGTTTTAGAGAGGTTCCAGAAGAGTTCTGGAAGCCCCCGTATAGTTGATAAGGATAACTTCTTTGAATAGATTGAATCCTATTATTTAATTATTCAAATTAGGGTTGATCATGGACATCTACCAGCTATAAATAGGGACCCTTAGCTATCATTTTTAAAACCTTTCTCATATTTTTGTTCCTATGGTTTATAGGGTATTGGGTGTAAGCCATTAGAGGCATCCACACTATTGGTGCTTGCTTTCCAAAGGAAGATTTAAAGATTCTAGGTAGCTATATTCGATTATAGCAAAAGGTATGTTTCCAATCTATTTGATTCCCGATAATTAGTAGATTAGTTTATTTTTCATAGTATGTTGCTATAATGAGAAAATGTCATAGATCTCTAGGTTGCATGTGCCCATAAAATAATTTTATGATTCTGCTACGTAGATTTACATGTTTTGGAAAACCCATCAATTTTATCTTCAAGTTTGTAATAGCTCCATTTTATAGATACACCTAAACGCAAGGCATGGCAATGTATTTTCATGTATTATCTTATATCACATCCAACTTTTATTTCTTATTTTTACAACATTGTACTTTCAAAAAAGTTCTTATTAGCATATATTATGGTAATCTATGTGCGTCATGCATTGCTAGAATTTCAAAAAGAAACTTTTGTGGATCGTGCTTAGCATAACCCTTAGACTTCCATATATATATATATATATATATATATATATATATATATATATATATATATATATATATATATATATATATATATATATATATATATATATATGATCATGTAGGAACTCAAAATTTGGTAGGAACTACGAAGACAAATCTTGGCCCTGAGATTGAAAAAATAAAAGGTGGAGATTTTATTTTATTTATCATCAAAATCTCGCGAGATGATATGGCGATTTAGTAATTATATGCGAGATAATGGCAATTTCCAGTACAGGTTAAATGTTTAGAGGGTTATAAAGGAAAAGCAAAAATAAAATAAAATAAAATAATCAGATTTTGGAACCACACGCGCCTAGACGCATCCCAACCCACTCTCACGCCAAGTGTCCGCTCCTCATTGGTTGGGGGGGGGGGGGGGGGGGGGTTCCACCCATTTCGTTTTAGCCATAACTTTTTTTTTCTTTGAAACAAATCTAAAAAAATCAAAGTTCTTAAAATTTAATTCTCTACAAAATGAGCATAATCATGAAATTTTGAAAAAAAAAATTATTTTTTATATTTATAAAAAAAACCCAGAAAAAAATTCTCCAAAAATTATAAAAATTTATGAAATACTTCTCCTCACTATTCTAATGACTTTGTAACAAGAATTTTTAAAAAATAATGTGTTTTTAGATATCAAACTTGATTTTAAAAGATTAAAAGTTTTTATAAAAAAATGTTAAACATAATATAATCCAAATAGAGATGATTCAAAAATATTATGATTCAATATGTCTATTATCTTTAACTTGTTATGATCTAAAATATTTTGATTTAAATATTTAATGATCATTAATTATTATATTTTTTATGATTCAAAAAATATAATGATCTAAATATAATTGTTAAACATTAAAACCTCAAACCGATATTTAGTGTAAAAAATCAAAAAATAAAATAAAATAAACTACTATCTTCAAGTATGTAGTAAGATATTTAAAAAAACAAAAAAAAATAACTTCTTTTAAAAAAATCAAAAAAATTTTAAAAAAAAAACGAAAAAAAAATTAAAAACTTTAAAACCAAACATATATCTATTTAAAAAAATCCCAAAATAAATGAAGAAGAAAGAAAAACTCATTTAAATGACGTTCCATAGACGTTCGTCGCACATGATTATTCCCTCGAGTACGTATTACGTCCAATGCACGTGCATCGCGTTCAATCGTGTCACGACCAAGTAAATGAGATTGACGTTTGTGCCATTTACGAAATGATTAGTGGAGAATAGTGTTCGCGGTTCCTATATATATATATATATATATATATATATATATATATATATATATATATATATATAAACTTAAGATCTTATCTTTAAAACAATAATAATAAATAAAAAAACATTGTAAAAAAAACATTGTACCCAAGGATTGGCTTCTTTCGGAATAAACTTTTTTAGAAGACACGACATTTGCTCCAATGATTTACATTAGTGTTCTTTGTCCTACTTCCACCAAATTGGTGTCCATGGATTTACATAATAAAAAGAAAATCATGGATGAATTTGTTCCACTTCCAATGACTTGACAACTTCATTTGCATAAAACTCATTTAATCTTGTTAGAAGTGATGTAAAGAAAAATAAAAATGAAACCCACAATTTAATCTTCATTATCGTATTACGTATCCAAGTCAAAAATGGTGAGAATCCAAATAAAGTGATGCTGATTTTTTTATAAAAAGACGAAATATCAATCAAAGTATAGGGGTTTGTGGCTAAAAAAACACAAATTGATTAAGTGGGAAATCACATCACGTAATTGAGTGTCATTGTGGGTGTAGTCCAACATGCAAAGATTACTAGTACTTCACTTTGTACCATAAAACAAGGGTTAGTGGATAATACTTGACATGCATTTATCAACTATTTAAGGTTGACATTTCATAGGCGATGTAGATAAGATTTGTCGACAATAACACTATATGTGCATTACGCACGTGTGCAAAAACACAAGTGCTTCTACATCATGGACTTTAAATTTACCTTTTTACCTTATACTCAAAAACATTTTAAATAAGGTACAAAATCTTGATATGGTCAACAACAATGGTGGGATTTGTATTTGTGGTTAGATGTGGTAAGACTTTTGTGAGTAATGATTGTATGGTGTGTGTGAAGTGGGATTAGTATTGGTGTGCGAAGGGCGTTTTGGTAAATTGTAGATTTGGTAGGATTCATGGGTGGAATTCAAATGCTGGGATGGATCATGGATGTCAGCAATGGAGGATTCTGAAGCCCCACCATATGGTCTTGTTCCCGTTATCTAAAAATGTTCACAAGAAAAATAAATTTATTGTAATTCATAGAGAAAATATGATGGAAAAAGATGAAAGAAATTTGAACATATATTGGTAGCATAGATGAAAAGAAGATTTTGTTTAGATTTTGAGTGAATTGCATAAATCTTCCATGTTGTTAACTAAAAATTACATTCTCAGTCCCTTATGGTTTTTAATTTTAACGCATTTCATCTTTGGCCTATGTAAAGTGATTGATTTACCCTAATCATATGAGGACAAATTAGTCATTTTACATAGTTTTACATAGGCGAGGGATGAAATGCATAAAAAATGTAAAGCACTGGAGATGGAGAATGTTAAAAACTAAGTACATGGACGCAATCCGTAATATCCGGTAAACCATGGGGATTTATGTAATTCACTCTTAGATTTAGCATTAGGTACTATTTCTTAATTTGGAATAACTTTAGGATCTTATTTTGATTATGAATTATCTCCTTAAGTAGAGAATCCTTGAATTTAATATCTTTTTTCAGTTTTAGGCTATGTTTGGCATACTAGCTGAAAAGCTAGTTGATAGCTGAAAAGCTAACTGTTAAATAAAAAGTTAACTATTAAATAAAAAGCTAACCGGTAAAAAATAACGTTTGATAAAACTAGTCGAATGATATAAAATTACATAAAAGGGCATTTAAGAGAATGTGTTTCTACAATTAATTAAGGGGTATATTTGGAAAATTTTAAAAAAACTCCTAAAAAACTAGTCTAAGTAGTTTTTTAAAAAGCTAGCTTATAAGCTACCTTTTGGTTTGCCAAACACGACAACATAAAAAAGCTCAAAAAAATAAACTAGTTGTGACGTACCAAACATAGCCTTAGAAGATATTTTGATAACTTTGAGAAGTTAATACAAAGACAAAGAGTTTTGTAGATATTTGATAAGCAACTATGGTTTACAAATTACATGAGATCCATATAAAGAGAGAGATTACAATAAATCCCATTGACAACCATCATCAGACTCCACAACTCAACAATCTCACGGTTGGAAGTTCATCAGCAAATCCAATTGTCTTCAAAGACATACAACTCTCTTCTAGTAAACATAAAGCATGCAGCCTCATCTCCCTCTCTTAAGTTAAGTCGAGCGTCTTCTCATCAAACATCTAAATGACCGGTTTTATGTTATCACCACTTTAGTAAGCCTAATCTTTCTTAATGACAACATACCATCAGTTATTAATTCACTGATAATGTGATATCTTATTTGGATGTGTTTCGCTTTACTTTGAAACACTACATCTTTGCAAGACGAACTACATGTCATGTCCCGGTTGAGCAAATTAAGAACATTGTGTTCATGTTCCACGTCTAGCTTTAATAGAATTTTTTTTTAACCATATGTCTATGGTTAAAAGATGTGATATCTTGTTCCACGTCTAGGCTTACTAATGTGATATCTTGTTTCTACAATAGCCATATAAACAACGTCTATGGTTCAGAGAGCAACATTCTTTTGTAGTGCTTATGCCCAAATCTAAAGAACTGGCCAAATTTGCATCTGCAAAACCTACAAAGATAGCATATTTGTCTAAAACATTGAGCAATCTTAGAAGTGCCTTCCAAGTAGCATAGCAACACTTGACTACATCTCAATGCTCTTTTTTCAGAATGACATGAACCTACAAGCAACTTTCATTGCATGAGCAATATCTTGCCTCATGCATACCATAACATACATCAAACTACGTATTATTGATGTATAAGGAACTTTACTCATCTATTCATTTGTCTACGATGATTGTTTCTTTAAAAGCTTCAAATCTTTCATCTTTGAATCTTTTAACAATATGTTTGATCCTGCTACCAACATATCACCAAAAGATATGACAATATTATAATATAAGACAGATTGAATTTCTTTATGCAACATTCTTAACATATATCATCAACGTAAAAAGAAACAAAAGTGACCCATTCCACATTTCACGTACATATTGTCCAATTCCCCTACATAAAGCTTTCAAACTTCAACTATTGTTGCACATGTGTCTGCTTTAACCCATATACGTTTTTCATCGGTTTACACCCCAACTTTTCTTATTGCTTGTGGCAGTGGCGACAACTAGATGTCTTCTTAGAGTGCATGTAGGAATGTTGTCTTGACATTTCATTGTTCCATATACAAATCTTCCGCAACCAAAATACTCAAGGCTGGTTATGGTCATTTTCACTACTAGAGAGAAGATCTTGTTATAATCAACTCCTCTTTTCATAGCATATGCTTCCACTTTACAATTGAAAACCCTTAACCACCACTTTTGCCTTGCACCTCTTGTTGTCATCTTGTTATTCTTGAACACCCACTTCTTTTATAATGTTTTTTCCCGTGAGACAAAAGGTCTTTTGGTTCTTTTCAAATAAACTCATATCTTCCTTCATAGCATATGCTTCCACCATAAGATTTCTTTGATTCGCAACACTTTAGGATAATCTATCGATAGCAAATAATTGTTTGATAGAGTATCTAACTAGAGGTCTTGATACTTTTGTGGATCCTATCTAAACCATAGCCAATAAGCACATACTTATTGGCTTTTTGCCACGAGCTTATCCTTCCCATCATCGTTTCAAATTTATGCTCTAACAATGGTTCATGTACTTTTGTCCGGTATATATAATCCTTAATGTGCATCTTCCATTAGCCAAAGTTATGGTCCTTACCAATGTGTATCGATGCTCTTATATACATGTTCTTATATACAAACAAGATGGTGCGGGTTCTTGCTTCTTTAACCGGGTTATGTAGTTGTCCTTAGGTTGCAAAGGTAGTACCCTCCAATATAATAGTATTACTTTTTCCGTATTTCCTAGGATATTGCATAAGGATTTGTAAGGGTGATTTTCTTGCCATAATATATTGCTTCTCGGTTTGCATAGTTGGTTTGCAGTCGATAAAGAGAACCAGCCTGAGCTGTGTTGATTCGGATTGCTTTTAATGTCGTATTGTCTTTATGTATGGGCTAACCCCCAATACACCATTACCACCGAGAGAGACCGAATGTGAACCGAGAGCGACTGACATCGATAAGGTTATCGTAGCATTAACCATGATAATCCCATGCAAGAATTAATGTCGTTCTTCATTTAAAGATTCTTGAAAGAATTTATGTTTTGTATTGTCTACATCATAGCCTCTCCAAGCATGTTTATCAATTTATTTAGGGTTAACCGATCTTCAAGTGCAAATAATGTTTTATCACCCATGGCTAAAAGGAAGAAAAACTTTTCCAATTATGTGATGAGGGAGGTAATAAAAAGCAATGAAGTCCTATAAATTTAACAATTTTTCAAGATGACTCCACCGCGAGCATAGCAGATCTTTCTATGATTAAATGGATACCCTTTTTCAATTTGCAGACCGCGATTGATGCACTCTCAAATGAATCTCGTGTATAGAATCATAACTAATAAGTGTATTTAAACTCTATATGATAATTAAGGGGTGCTTGGGATTGCTTTTCAAAGTTCAAAAGTGTTTTTGGGCAAAAGTGTTTATGGACTTATTGCGGTAGAAAAAGAAATTTAAAAAAAAAAAAAAAAAAAAAAAAATTAGATTAGCTTTTACGGTGGAAAAAAGCTTTATACTTGTAAAACGACTAAAAAGGACATGGAAAGAAAGGAGAGAAGAAAAGGAGAGTGAGAGAATTCATTGAGGGTAGTATTGTCATTTTCAGTTTAAAAAGCCAAAAACACTTAAAAAGTCAAGATTCCCTTTTGGAAACCTCCTTTTTAAAGCATGCCAAAAAGCCATTTTGAATAGCACTTATGCAATACCCAAAAAAAATCAATAAGTCAATAAGCTATTTTGAAAAGCAATCCTAAACACCCTCTTAGTGAAGCTAAAGTTCATATAGCTACAAACTTAAAGAGGTTTGACCTAAAATCCGCAAGACCCCATAGGTTGATGAGAACGAAATAGACACATCAAAAGGGTTGTTAATTGATGTTGTTGACCCTGTGGTGGATCGAGGTTTTGATGATTTCCATATGCGATTTTGACGCTAATTGCGCTTCCATTTCATAAAAGGTCATTTGTCGTGCATTGTCCGAACAATCTAATGTTAAAACTAAATTACAAGATATTGAAACTTCGTTGAATCCATCAATAGTTGAAAGTCAATAACATGTTGATACACTATGTATGTGTCAGGAAGAAAGATTTCCTATTTGTTCTAGTTTCCTTTTCTAAGATAATAAAAAATTGTTTAGATTATTACTATGATTTATTCCTTACTTAGCAATTCATTTAGGACGTTCTTTTGGTAAGGAATTATCCCCTAAAGTAGAGAAATCATTTCGGAATCAGATCAAGTATCTTTCCTATATAATATCTTTTTTTAGTTTTAGAGGTTAGTTTTAATAATTTTAACAATTAAGTTGATATAATCATTTTCAATAGTATCATTCCACCCTCATAATCATTAGTCCAACTTGATAGAAAACAAATTGAAAAGTCAAAGTACTAACCTCACTAGCATTCCCAATAGAAAAACCTCTACTGCTACTCGACATCTTCATATCCACACCACGTAAGAATCTAATGTAGAACATAGAACAAAATATATCAACATATAAATAAAGACAAAAAATACCAAAAGATAATGTTCTCATGAGTAATGTCATAGTATATTACCTTTGGTAACCCTGAGGTTCATACTCATAGTCCCTTAGAGGAGAAGAGTAACCCAAACGAGGGGCAACATAGTCATTAGATTCATAGTCCCTAACAGGAGCCCGATATCCACCACCTTCATAATCCCTCACAAGAGCTTGATGGCTATGAGGTTCATAGTCCCTATGAGGAGCCAAGTGACTATAAAGTTCATAGTCCCTTGCAGGAGGTGGATAGCTACGTGGTTCATCATACACCCTTCCACCACCCTATAACACAATAACAAAATAACAATCACAAAAATAAAAATAAAAATAAAAAAAACTCGTAATAATTTGACTAGTTTGACTAACTGTAAAAGGTTCATAGCCAGCTAAGCGACCACCATGAGGAGATGATTCCGCTTCAGGTTTTGCATCACGAAGACATCTTGCTCGATATCTTGAAGCAATCTCAGCTACCGCATCTTTAACCGTACCATAAATTCCAGACACCTGAATGGAATGGAATAAGCAAAGGAATGGAATGAGTGATTACATTCCATCATACAAACACCACCATAAAGTGAAAACAACATAATACGTCACCTTTACAAGCTCTTCATCTTTACTAGCACATTTAGGCTTTTCTTGTTTAGAGTAAACACGAATATCTGCTTTTGTTCTCCTTCTCATTTCATTAATCACATGTCCACCTTGCCCAAGAATGCAACCGACTTTACTAGATGGCAAAAGTAATCTTGTACTAACAATTCCTTTCTCAGAGTAATCACTCGCTTTCTCTTGTAAAAAAAGAATTGCATCGATCGTTCTTGACCTTGGATTCCTCAAATCCTAAATCCATTTTAACAAAATCCACACCAACATTTCACAATTATATAAATTACATTTTTGGTACCTGGGTTTAAAATTCTTTTCTTTTTTGGTCCCTAGTGGAATCGGTTTTGCAATTTTGGTTGTTATTTTGATGTTTCATAACGATTTTGGTCCATGGTTGTTAAATCTAACTACTCACTTGTTGACTATATAAGAGTAATTACATTTTTGGTCCCCGGGTTTAAAATTCTTTTCTTTTTTGGTCCCTAGTGGAATCGGTTTTGCAATTTTACTTGTTATTTTGAAGTTTCATAACAATTTTGGTCCCTGGTTGTTAAATCTAACTACTCACTTGTTGACTATATAAGAGTAATTTACATTTTTGGTCCCCAGATTTGTTAAAATAATCAGTTTTGGTCCCTGGTCTTTAAATCTAACTACTCACTTGTAAACTTTTTCTACAGTAATTTACATTTTGGTCCCCGAGTTTGTTCAAAAATTTCAATTTTGGTCCCTGGTAGTTATATCTAGCTATACTCACTTGTAAACCTTTTAGAGTAATTCACATTTTAGTCCCTGAATTTGTTCACAATTTTCAGTTTTGGTCCTAAATAGTTTTCTCTTGCAACTTTGGTCCCTATAGGCACCAAAACTGCAAGAGGAAACTATCAAAGATACAATTTTTGAAAAAACTCAAACTGCAAGAGAAAACTATTTAGGACCAAAACTATAACTTTTTTTAAAAAAACTTAGCAACCAAAATGTAACTTGCTCTTTTACAAATGACCATTTTGCCCTTGGACCTAAACTAAAAAGAACCATATACCACAAGAGCCAAAATGGTCTCTTCAAGAAAACCACTGACCTCAAACGATGACACACAAATCACACGTTCATCTGAGTCAACTGCCACATCATCAACATGTATATCAGTTCCAGTTTCTTGTTGAATTTGTCTTACATTTGAGCCACCTTTACCAATCACCCCTCCGATTTTTGCTGTGGAACAAAGAATTTTCATTGAAAACTCAGCAGGAGTATCACCAAATCTTGAATGGTCACTGCCATAATCCCCCCGCCACCTGGCAGGCGGGGGTAGATTTGTAATTTGAGGTCCAGGTGGATGAAATCCGTGGGGCCCGGAAGGAATGAAGTTGTCCTTGCGTGGATGATGATGTAACAAAGTAGAAATTTCATAGAGAGCCCTTTTTACAATAGCTGGTTTAGCTGATATCTGTGATTATATATCAAAACAGTATGTAAATATCAAATATATTTTACATGAAAAAGTAAATATAATTATTTAATTACCAAATTAATCCTTTGTTTGAATTAATTGTATGGATTTCAAAGAAACTGAGTTCTAAATTTCTGTATCAGTTTTTTGTGAAGTAAATATTAATTCAATAGACAGATAAAATTAAGCAAATTTGACTATATAAAATCCATCATTTGTGAAATTGACTATCAACAAAGTGTTTTTACCAATTAACCCTTGTCTTAATTGCTAAATAAAAATTGGTAACAAGTCTATGAAAATATTTGCAGCTTAACCACTTATACTTAATTTTTTTCAATCAAACCATAAAAGTTTGACATTTTCCAATTTAACCATTTTGACATGATATATAACTAACAGATCAAAATGGTTAATATAGAAAAATGTCCATAAGGGTATTTTGGTAATTTTAGCATAAGAACATAAATCATTACCTGAACCAATTCATCACTACTCAAAGCACAAACAGGAAGTATTAATATAGAAAAGTGTCTGAAACTTATATGGTTTGAACAAAAAAGATTAAGTATTAATGGTTAAACCACATGAAACTCCACAAGGGTATTTTGGTAATTTTAGTATAAGAACACAAATCATTACCTGAACCAATTCATCAGTGCTCAAAGCACAAACAGGAAGCTGATCTGAAGGCAAAATGCGTATATTTGCACGAGTTTCACTTCTCAATCTCTGAATAACATCTCCTTTTTTTCCCAAAAGACACCCCACCATATTATTTGGAACAAGAATTCGTGTAGTGACCAATTTTTCATTATTATTTATATCTTCTTCAAGAATCTTATCATGAACTTTTAACAAAGCATCTTGTGCAGCACACTGGAGATTCATATCATTATGTGTTACTGGTTTTTTTGTTGAAGGACTGTAGATTATGACTACTCTTTCTTCTGATCCAGGGATAGAATCGTCAATTGTGATTTTAGCTTGAGTTTCTTCACGTAAGGCCTTGATTATCACTCCACCTTTTCCAATAACACTACCGATTTTTCTAGAGTGGCATAGTATTCGGTAGAGTGTTTCTAAAGAACTAGAGGTTTCTGAAAATTGATCACTAAATTTGCCTCTTTTATTGATATTATTCTCAAAAATGGGGTTATGGGGTCTTTTGAATGAGCGAATGTTATCTTCCATATTGCTTAAAATCCACTGTTGAACAAAGATGAAACAGATGAAATCCAGAAATATATAAGATGTTAACATTAAATGATTAAACAAAATAAAAATCAAATACTACCATAATCACCTACAAAGGGTTACAAGCTTAGAGCTAGATGAATAAGTGACCTATTACAGAAATAGATTAATAAGAAGTTGACTTTCTGGTTTGACTTTGTTTGATCTTGCAATGAAACTGATTACTAGAGGGTACTTTAGTCTTTTCCTAGTGTCGGTTATAGTGATATAAATAAGAGGCATTGATCTTCTAGTTCCTTAATCTAGAGTATAGCAAACTCCCATTGGTTAAAGCCAACTAGTGTGTAATATAGAACCACAAAGAGGAGATTAAACTAAAGGATTGGGTTCAAAGAAAACAACAATGTATATATAAAGGGAAGTTGTCGGACTATAAAAGAAAAAAACAGATGTTTGTATTTAGTAATTAGTATCTAAGGTTGAAAACTGAAATTAATTTATTCTTTTGCTTTAGGCACAAAGAAATCATAGAAATAACATCAGCCCAAAATCAAACAAATACTTCTCTTTTTCTTATTTTTCTATTTTCAAGTCAGGTTCTTCCCTCAAAATGATAAGCTCCACAAAGTATCCAATTATATTATCTCTTGTATCAAATTGCATCTAGCTTCAAGAAAAAAAAAATACAAACTGCATATTTTGTGGTTTCCATGATCTAAATCAAGAAATCCAAATGTTCTACAAACAAACTAAAAGGCATCTATTTATGTTTCTAGTAACCAGTTCAACTTCGTACTCTTTCAAACAACTACAATTACGTGGTTTTAGTTCTCCAAATCCTTAAGATCATCCAATACACAAACATATATCACTAAATCCTATAATACACAGTGCAAACTGCTTTATCAAGCTCAAACCACAACATTCCTTCGCTAAAACCATGCTATACCTAAACAAAATTCGGCAATCATCAAAATTTCCAAAACGTACATTGAAGTTATGTCAAATTTCAAGCATTTAACTTGAACAATTCCAACAAATACTAACGTAAAACGACACTATAATTATAATACGTACCTAAGAGAGCAAGGTGAAATTTCTCCGAAAGAGGAGAATCGACCCGGAAGATTGAGCCAACTAGGGCTTGTTCTCCATATGGTTTGGGGAAAAACAAGTTTGAGTCGAGGTTCGAATTCGATTTGTTGGATTTTTCGATGTTTTATTTTCGAATGGGCCTCCGTGCTGTTTTGTTTTAAATGGGTCACTTTGGTTTGGTTTCCTATAAATTGATTAAGTGGGCCATTTTGGGTTTGTTTTAAATGGGCCACTTTGGGTTTGGTTTACATCTTTATATTTATTAAAATGAATGTAAAAAAATTAGAAAATTACAAATATATTAATTTATAAAAGCAAAAGTAAAATAAAGAAATAAAACTGAATATATAAGAGGACATTTGCAAAGACGAATCTACTTTAGTGTGAAAGGTGTGCACGACGGTATCACACCTCTAATTTTTTACTTCTTTTTATTTCATTGGTTATTTATTTACTTTATTTAAGTTTTAATCAAAGAATTCTACATAGTCACATAATAATTTATTTTTTATATATTTTTTTGAACGGTGGGTTAATGATTAGAAGTTAGTATCACGAAATCGTCAACGTCTAGATTAGAACTCGAGACCTTCAATCTAAGAGGCAAAACCTCTACCAAGTGTGCTAGTCTCACATTGACAATTTAATTTAAACTAGTGGGTGAGTCCGTAATGAACCACGGGTCACCCTTGTGGTTGTTCTTGTACATTTATTGAATTCGGTATCACTGAAATGCGTCTTGTTTTATTCCAAGCATTTATTACAAAGACAAAGTATTACATAGTTGGACGCATTTGTACATCGCTGACGCAAAGATACCACAGCAGACGCGTGTCACAGTCAACCCTACAAAGGATGACGATGACAAAACGAAGCCCTAAACGGAAGTACAAAAAAATTGAAAACAATAACAAAAATTGAAGACATATCGATCAGAGAGAAACGTGAAACGTAGCAAACAGAGAAAAAATAAGGAGGTGAGTCAGTAGTGTCGGTTGAACCAAAAGTGAAAATAATATAAACAATATAAAATAGGGACAAATTATAGCAACGGAGCAAAATATGATGATCAAAATATCAAAAATCAAAAACAAGGACAAATTATGACAAGGAAACAAAGTAATGTGGTCAAATATGAAACACAATAAAACAGGGACACATTATAGCAACGGAGCAAATAATGTGATCAAAATATCAAAAACCAAAAAACAAGGTCAAATTATGGCAAGGGAGCAAAGTAATGTGATCAAAATATGAAACACATGAGGTAAACTGTTTCTAACTATGTTAGGAATTAAAGTAGTATACTAATTAGTAGATGTGTTATATATTCTTTTCAAAATATGAGAATTCGTCGTATGATATTTATTAGTTTTTTTAATTATTTGATCTTTGATGTTAAAATTAATATTACACTTGCATTTAAATGATAATATTGACAACCCGACCTAATAATGAAAAAAAAAATCGACTAAGTTATATTATCATCTTATTAAAGTTGGACACATGTTACTTTGAATCTTGGATTCATTAATGGGGGTTAGGAAGAAATTATAAAACAAGTTGTAAAAAAATTCTAAAAATATTATACTAAAAGCTAAATTTTATAAAATATGTAAAAACAAAATGGGAGATGACACAAATGTCTTACAAACTTTCTAGGGTTGGTCCATTTAGTATTTAAACTATTTTTGTGGCTTTATGAGGGAAGAAAGTCGTGGAAAACATGTCTATTTAGTCCCCTAGACTTATTTTAACCGATTTGAGTGCCACATAGATAACAATTGCGACATCAGCCATGACATAACACTGACATGGAACCGACGAACTATTACACCCTTCATGAATGATGTCGTATTGCATATGACTCATAGGCTCCATGTTTTGACCTTTCATTACCCGCCTCCATATATATACACACATTGGTGCCCTAAAATAACAAAACCCCAAACATTATTACCCTTTCTTCGAACAAAAGTTCATACCCTAATCGCTTTCAAGATGCCGACAGTTCCATCCCCCGCCAACAGTTGGTCGTTCAATGACCGTCGTCACATGGAAGAGAACGGTTCTAATGGAGTCCTGGAATAAGATATAACTATCACTTTACTCCAAACATAGTTGGAGGTCTCATTGATTCGTGAGGAATTTGATGCTGACTTGGTCCAGTTTCACGAGAGGGTGAGAAGAGAAATGGACGCTCTAAACCACGAGGTGGACGATGTTAAGGCTGGGCAAATCGACTTTTCCAAGATGTTTGTTAAACTAAAGAACCATTTCTACTATCTTCAAGCAGATTATGTGAAGATGTTGGTCAAGAAGAACGGCATGAAGAGGCTAAAATGTTTGTTGGGTTTTCTGTTTGTGATTGGGGTCGGGGTTACAACCTACAAGTTCTTCCACTGATGGTAGAACTTTAGGTTAGATGATTTCATTGTTGGGTTTGTAGTTTTAGTGATCTAAAGTGTAGTTATGTTAGTGGTTATTTTGGTGGATCCTTTGGTGGTAATGTTGGTCGTTGTCTTGGTGGTCCTTTTGGTGGTGGATGACGTTGCTGATAAGATCAAGTAACGTTTTAGTTTGTATATCATTTTTTGTGTGTAAGTTAATGGTAGTGTAAGAAACAACCCTTCAAGAAAAAGGAAATTGTTTATGTTTAACTATACCATTTTTGTTATAAGCTTGTTTGTGCATGAAATTTGTAAACAAACAAAAAAAGTTGTCCATAGCAAAGTCCCTACTATTTGGACTTGCAAGATGAGACCACATGCCAAAGTCAATGAAATTTTTAACTAAAAAAAGAGGGACAAAAAGGTTCAGTTAACATAACGAACAAAAAAGAACATGCAACCCCACGGATGCACGATGTGGGACCACCTCAAGCCCCTTTTGTATTTAACCCAAATTGAGAAAAAATTGAAATTATAGTGTCTTATGTTTATTTGTGATGGGAAGTGGGATGAGTGAATGTACATATATAACAATGTACTATGATGTTACTCAATACCAAACTATAAATATGTAAACTGTTAAGAATCTAAATTTGTGTCAATTAATAGGATTCTACTTTCATGTGCCTACACTGCCCCTAAGTCATGAAATGCCTAAACTGCTCCTAAGGCCTAAAATGCCTAAACTTCCCCCATGTCCTGAAATTTCTAAAATGCCCCCCCTAAATATGTAAACTGTTAATAATTTAGATTTATGTCAATTAATAGAATTCTACTTTCATGTGCCTACGTTGCCCCTAAGTCCCAAAATGCCTAAACTGCCCCCATATCCTGAAATTCCGAAAATGTCCCCAACGACTTAAAATACCTAAAATGCCCATAAGGCCCTTGTAATAATATAATTTTTGTCAGTATGCTGAATTTCCCATATTGCCCTTAACTACCATGTGGCAGAAGTTGATGAATAACTCACTTTCATGTTGACCTGTTACGAATAACAATGTAATATGACGCATAATGAAACAAACTGGATTTTCAAATATAATTCCAAATACCAAATATAAACATAACCATAAAGTAAATTTAAATTACAACCATCATTCTCATTATTTACATTGCTCACTTCTATGAAATACCATAAATACCCCTAACCCCAAACCACCTACTAGGTGCTTGTAAACAACTACCCTCCCACCCAACTCAAATGAAACATAGATTCCAAAAACACATTTGAAACACAAATTAATCCAAGTACATTATGGTTGCAGTACTGCTCAACTCTTTTTGCAAGCTTAATTTAAAGGATTTTCTCAGACTTTTTTTCTCTTAATTGGTTGACTAGCAGCATGGACAATATTTTCATTAACCATCAACACATCCTCACCTTTATTAACAATATCAACTTCTTGTTCACCTTCATCAAAGATAACATCAGCTTCCCCACCCCCTTGCATATTTACTAACTCTTGTGTTTGCCTTGCCTTTTGTTTCTTTCTCACACGCTAATTTTAGGTGTCTTTCCACTTGAGTACAAGTGCTCTTGTTGTGTCCTGTCTGTTTGCATATGCTACAAGATAACTTTTTCCATGCCTTTGAAATTGTATGCTTTATAGTTCTATCAGAAGCATCCCTTATTCTCTTCATGGTTGTCCTGTTTGGCATTCTTCTTTTTAGTGGAGGCAAAGGAGGGGTGTAATCTATAGGAGGCCACATGTTGTTTCCATTCATCTCATGTATGGAGTTTTTGTAAGTATTGTGGAAAAAGGCTCCCAAGTACAATGGGTCTACATATGGTTTATGAGGTTTAACATTTAAAAATGCTAATGTAGCAACTGGATGAACACAACCATACCCATTTAGTTGCCACAACCTGGATGTGCATTCCTTTTTTTGCATATCAATAACATAAGACTCATCCATGTTTCTTGTTCCAAACTTCATCACCCCACAATATACAACATGTCAATACCTACATAATGTAATGCAAATAATTAGTTCTCTTTCAGGTTAGTTATGGATTAGTATAGATGTATACATACATCTGCTCAATTTGTAGTTTATTCAACTTTTCTTTGATATTTGGACAAACTGAGTAACGATTACATCCTTGTCCCTTAAGTTGCATACTGACCATCCTTTGAATCATATAAATACGGATATCCTCTAACATACTTATGATATGTTTCTTCCTAGCATCTAATATCACACTATTAAAGTTCTCTGAATAACCATTCTCCATAGATTCACAAGAGGCATGGTGAAATCTGAAGAAAAGAATAAACTAAGGACCATATCTTAGGATCCCTCTCCATAAGATGAAGAAATCCAACAGGGTTTAATTGTTGAATAACATTCATGGCTACATTGAAATGTGCTTCAATTGTTGCCTTACTAGCTCTCCAAAAAATATTTTCAAACTAAGATCTACTAACTTTCTAAAATTGGCATAGATATGCCTTGCATACTACCTGTGTTCTACTCCTAGTAATTCATCCTTTACTACCTCAACCAAAGTATAACATCCGGTTTACAGGTATAAATCTTGAGAGTTAAACTTTATAAAAGCTGGAGGCCACGACGTGGTGGGAAGATCACCATGACGTGGCAACCACTTCTGGGTCCGCGAATATTTTAAATAGCCACGACACGGCAGTGCATTAGGCACGACGTGGCGGCGTCCCAGGATTAAACCCTAATTTTCCGAGTTTAAGGCCCTATTTAAAGGATGTGATGTCTAGGTTTTTTCCACCCTCAACCTCCATCACTTATATTTGTGCTTAGATCCAAACCCTAGTCTCCTTTCAAGCTCTTGAGCTCATTTTAGGTGATTTGGTGACTTTTGAAGAAGAAGAGGAAGATTCTAATGCAAGGATCTAACAAGCATCTCATATCCACGTTTTTTATCATCTTCTATACCATTGTAAGTCTTCAAGGCTTGATCTTTTTGGTCCATTTCTTATAGATCTAGGTTATTTTAGCATATTTTGGTCCATGGTTGAAGTTTGGGTGATTATGCATGATAAAGTTAGCAACTGTATGACTCTCCAAAGTTTATTGGTCATTATATCTCCTGGATCTAGAAGTTTAAAATGTTTTGAGAGCCATGCATGGGATTTAGGTTATTTTGATACTATTTGACTTAGTATGAGTAAAGGACATGCATGGATCATGCATGTCCCTAAATTTCATATTATGATGAGCCTTTAGGGTCCCAAGAAGTTTTCTGTAAAGTTAGAGTAAAGGTCTTAATCCATTAAGTTGTCCTGAGTGAAGAAACCATGACGTGGCGTGATGCTCGCCACAATTTGGTAAAGAAGGATTTAGTATCTGTTTTGTCATATTACCACCACGACATGGTGGCAGAGTGGTCGCAACTATTTGAATAGTCGCGACGTGGCCAGTGGCTGGCTACGACGTGGTGACCGTTAACCATTGACTTTTTGACCTAGTTGACTTTTGGTCAAATTGCTATTTTAGAGAGTAGACTAAGGTGTTGATTAAGTTGATGGTTGTGTATCTTTAGACCTATGTGGTGCTAGTTGTGAGTCTTTAGGTCAATGATGGAATGACGGCAAGATCGGCATCGTACTATGAGCCTATCATTTTATTGGTTAGAAGGTGTAACAATGTATCGTGAACCAGCGGCTGCATGATTCATATGGGTGGGACCTGGTAGTCATTTGATTTAGACTCTTAGGTCTCAGATCATTAGTCTTATTTGCATGTTCGGGTGTTAGTGCATTAAATGGGATTCGGGTGACTCGGTGACCAGCCGGTTTGGATCATGGGGACAGTAAAAGTTTGTTGGGAGTATTAATTGTGCATCGGAACTCTCTTGTTGAATGTTTGCATTATGAACCCCATTTGCTTGCGAGCCATCCATTAGGGGCTTGGTTACAAATATCGGGTATCGATTCTGAAATCTCGAATCATGGAGTTCGTTGTAAATATCTCGAGTGTCTTGTCAGGTGGAGGTACACCTGAGGTGATGAGGGATTTGGATGCAACGTGAGATTCTTGGATTGACCAACATTATACTTTTGGGATCAGTGGGTTGGTGATGACTTGTCAGGAATTCAAGTGCGTATTTAACGTTGTTGGGCACAATCTTCGGATTGGGATTGGGTGAAATTCATGATTGGTATATTTTGAGTATTCCTTATGTATGGTTGAGTGGTGTTCCTAGTCAGGGACTAGGGGCGGGTATGACGAATGAATGATCAATAGTCTTAGGGAATAAGTTATGGAGTTTAAATTGATGGGTTCTAGTTTTCAAGAAGTTTTTTGCTTTGAGTGGTTGTCGCTGTGATTTGAGGTCTTCCGGTTGGGAAGAGTAAAGTAGTTGTTTCAGTTCTCAGGTCGATCAGTTGGGTTTCTTTGATTGAGTGAGGGCAGAGTGTTAAGGTTCATTCTTTGGGAGGGATAAGTGATTTATGCTAAGATGGGGTTTGGATGGTAGGGTTGGAAGGCGATCGTTTGTATGGGATGAATCTTCAGTCTTAAACGGAATTCAGGAAATTCGGGCAAAATTGACTAGGGTGGCAGAAGAAGTAGTAAGGAATAATTTCAAGGACGAAATCTAATTTAAGTGGGGGGGGGGGGGGAGAGTTGTAACATCCGGTTTCGGGACGTTTCTTAATTCAAGGTTTTTAGACCATAATATGACCATGTAAAGGCCTTGGGTTTCAAGGGAATGGAGTTTAGACTTTATTGGATGTTGATGGTGTTGGATAAGTGATTTAAACCTTGGATTGTTCGTTGGAAGCTGAGGGGTCAAATGGGAAAGGTAATGTTTCAGGATTCTTGCATAAATTAAGGGTTTTAGTTCGAGATGTTTTTAGTCATAAGTACCTAGATAGAGTTGTGGGGCTCGTTGATACCTTTCCGTAGATATAAAGATCATCAAAAATGGAGTTGAAACGAAGAAATTATGGTTGTTTAAAGTTAGGCAAAGGGAGTCTAGTAGTACGTAGGACATACACAAGGGATTACACAAGGCATACATGTTGAGCGTGGGACACATTTTTAGTGGAGTATGCAGGGCGTACTCAAAGTTATGCATGGCATAATTTCGCAATGTAAAAACCACACTTTTGGCGTTTTGATCCCTATTTAAGTTCTATAACCCCTTGGGGGTCATTCCTATCATCAACCTCCACCCACTTGAGCCTCTAACTCAAAACCCTAGCCTCCTTTCTTTTGTTTTGAGCCTTTTTGTAACACTCCAAAAAAATCACAATAAATTTAAATTTTTTAAAACCAACCATGAATCAATATTGTTTACAAAAAGAGTCATTGTTTAAAAAACATTATTTCAAATAAGAGTTTTCCCAAGACCCGAATACATAAAACTGGAAGTTATCTACGATCACGCCTTCGCCTTCCCACGATCCTCGGAAGTACCTGAAACCATAAACTAAAACTGTAAGCCAAAGCTTATTGAGTTCCCCCAAAGTACCAGCACACCAAAACAGACAAGCATACAATATGAACATCCAGCTTGACAGGACGGCCTCGTAGGGACTATAGCATATTTGGACCTATCTACGAGCCTTTTGCATGACTGGACCGCCTCGCAGGGTATACAACGTATCCGGACCGCTCCACGGGCCACTGGTCTAACTGGACTGCCTCGCAGGGCCTACATCCTATTCGGTCGTCCCTGGGTGTCTTGGCCTACAACACAAAGCAGAACCGCCTCAACCCAACACAACATGTCAACATATACAACAACCAAACATAAACACAGAGCCATCAATACATATAATCATACGGATCCACTGAACAACTACAACTATCAAATCACCATCCTAACCAGGAAAAATAATCCATTGGGTTGGCATTGGTGCCTTAGACTCATGGGTACAATGAGGAAAACTCACATCATAGTGTGAATGCAGTCTAAAGAAACTCTCAGCTCCGAAAACCGGCTCAACCCAAATCATTAATGTCAAAACATTTCCCATTCTAAATTGATAACATTTCCCAAAATACCCTTGGTCAAAACTGGTCAAAATCAACAAGTTAGCGGAGTCAACCCAACCAAGTCAACTTTGTCGAGTCAACTCAGGGATCATATGTGGGGCATACTCCGGAGGTACGCAGGGCGTACTCGAGCTTTGATCGCAATCGGGAGGTTGACTATGTACGCGGGGCGTACGCTGAGGTACACATGGTGTACGCTCAGAACCTCCTTTTCTCAATAAGAGCTTAATGCATTAAGCACTCATATCTAAATTTCAGATCCAATGCCAAAATACCACCAAGAGTCATAAAGTTTCCAAATTTATGACTTTTCATGTCCATTAAGTGCTTAATACACAAAATCCCAACTTGTTAATTCCTTAAGACCTTCTAGAGAATGCATGGAGAAAAACTAAGCATCAAGACTACATTTTTATGACTCAATACCCCTCATAACGTCTGAAAGGACGACTTATTTGGTTAAGGTCAC